AAGCCCGAAGTGGCGCTGTGGCTCAAGTGGTAGAGCGCTAGCCTTGAGCTGAAGAGCTGAGGGACAGCGCCCAGGCCCAGAGTTCAGGCCCCACGACCCGACCAAAAAAAAAAAAAAAGAAAGAAAAAGAGACTCAGGGACGGTGCGCAGGCCCTGAATTCAAGCCCCAGGAACAGCAAAAATAAAATTAAAAAAACAACCCTGAACTGAGCGAAGGAAAGAGGCAGAACTGAGGACAGCCCGCGTGGCCGGGGCCCCCAGCCCCTTGCTCACCAGACCACTGCGGCTGGGCCGGCCTCCGACGGAGGAGGCCACGGAGCTGACAGAGCTGATGGAGGAGCTGCTGGGGCTGTGGGTGAGCGCCGAGACGCCCATGGCCATGCGCTTGGTCTTCTTGGCCTTGGCAGGGCTGGTGGAGGGGAAGCCGATGCGAATCACCTTATGGATAGGCGCGAAGAGACCAAACTTGGGTGGACACTGGAAGTACCTGAGGAAGCCAGAGAGACCCCGCTGCCAATGTGGCCTGGAGCACCCCTGTGGCCCCGCTGCTCAGACCCCATCATTCTCAGAAGGAGGGGAGAACCTTCCAGAGGATGGGTGGGGTTCCGCGGGAAGGCAACAGAGCTGGGAAGAGCCTGAAGATCTGCAGCTGGCACCAGCCACTGGGGACAATTCAGAGAGGGGTGAGGCTGAGGCACTGATTAAGTGCCACACAGCCAGCCCCTCCCACCCCCGGCCATGCAGAACCCCCAGACACACACAGGGACAGCCAGACTGTGGCCACACCGGGTCTGCCCAGAGCCAAGCAACTCCACTGCTCCCCAAAGCCGTCTGCCCCACATCCTGAGAGGGGAGGGAGGCGGGGACCGGGAAGACTGTTGTCATGGAAACCCAGGCTCTGCTCAGCTCAGGCTCTACTTATGGGCTGCAAAGCCTGGCACTTGCTGAGCTCACTGCCCACGGCCACGATGATGCAAGGTGCCTGTCCCCATCTCGTGCTCCAGGCAGCCTCAGCCCCTTTTCTGCCTTGATTTCCTTGTGTCAGAGATGGCAGGACACAGGCAGCCCTTTTGTGCTTTGAGGGGCCACCTTGAGCTGCGGGTGGGCATGGCCAGATGGTGTTACCGGGCACTGCGGCCTCCCTCAGCCACGTCCACACGGAGCCGGCACTGAGTGACTGGATGACTGTAAGCAGTGACTCCTGTCTGCCTCTGGCCATCAGCGTATGCCCGGCTGTGGTGGATGCTCGAAGGGGAGCCCCCATTGAGGACCAACACCCCCTTCCCCTCCCCTCATCCCTGCAGCTGCTGTACCTGGTGCCCGCCACTGCGCCATCGTTCTTCCCCAGGGGCTCGTCCAGCTCGACGCCGCACCACTCACCCTTGGCAAAGTCAGTCTCCCCCACGTACCGCACCACGCCCGTCTTCGTCCCGCCAACCTGCACCATGGGGAGAAACTCAGCCCAGAGCTCATAGGGGTACAGGATGGAGATGGCTTCTCCCCCCTCCCGCCCAGCTCAGCTCACAGGGCATGCGGACAGGCGAAGAAGGGGGACCTCAAGAATGGTTGGAAGGGCCCCAGCACCTCCCAGGCCTGTGCCATACTGGGAGGTGACTGGGATCAGCGTTGGAACTCTGCCTCTTAAAAGCTGTGTGAGCTTACCAAGTTTCCTGCCCTCTCTGAGCCCCAGTGCCTTCACCCACCAAAATCATCTGTGAGAATTTAGTAGTGTGCTCCTCGGGAGGCTGAGACCCACACAACCCAGTGTACATATCTGTGGGTTCTGTGTGACGTGGTGGGTAACGCACATGCTGATTCGTTCAAGGTGCAATCTGGGGCAGGCTGCCAAGAACCAAAATGATTCTGTCAGACAGAACAGCACAACCCCGCCCCTCAGAACCCAGCCAGGCAGGCGCCCTACCACCGGTGCCCATCCCCAGCACTTTTCTTTTTGTACTGGTACTGGGGCTTGAACTTAAGGCCTCCCACTTTTTGCTTAGCTTCTTATTCAAAGCTGGCGCTCTACCACTTGTGCCACAGATCCCCTTCCAACTTTTTGCTGGTTAACTGGAGGTAGGAGTTTCACACCCAGGTGGCAGTGGCTCATGCCTATAATCCTCGCTACTCAGGAGGCTGGGATCTGAGGATCAAGGTTATAAGTCAGCCCGTGAGATACTTAGCCCCAATTAACCACTCAAAGACCGAAAGCAAAGCTGTGGCTCAAAGTGGTAGAGCACTAGCCTTGAGTGAAAGAGCTCAAGGACAGAGCCCAGGCACTGAGTTCAAGCCCCACAACCAAAAACAAAAAATAAAACAACAAAAAAAAAGTCTCACCATTTTGTCTGCCTGGGCTGGCCTCAAATCATGATCCTCAGATTCCACCTGAGTAACTAGGATTACAAGTGTGACCCACTGGTGTCTGGCTTATGCCCTTATTCTTAAGGGGTTTTGTCAGTTGTGTGGCTTGAACTCAAGGCCTAGGTGATGTCCTTGAGCTCTTTTGTACTTTGGGGTGGTTAACTGGAGATAAGAGTCTCATGGCGGGGGGCTGGGAAGGTGGCTCAGTGGTAGAGCGCTTGCCTTACATGTATGAGGCCCTGGGTTCGATTCCTCAGCACCAAATAAGCAGAAAAAGCCAGAAGTGGCACTGTGGCTCAAGTGGTAGAGCACTAGCCTTGAGCTGAAGAGCTGAGGGACAGCGCCCAGGCCCAGAGCTCAGGTCCACAACTGACCAAAAAAAAAAAAAAAAAGTCTCATGGGAACTTTTCTGCCCAGGCTGGGCTCGATCCTGAGTAGCTGGGATTACAGGTGTGAGCACTGGGCACCTGGCTTTCTTGAGGAGTTTTGCCGGGCCTCTTTATTTGAGAGGCTCCCTCTGTGTGTCCAAAGCTTTAGTGTTACTGTTGAGAGACCTTTAAAGCCACTTAGAATCCTGCCCTGTGTCCAGCCAGGACCTGTAGCAACGGGCCTGTGTCTCCATGTGCTGCACCCTTCCCCTTGTCTCAGGTGCTGCAGGCCCCAAGTTCAAATCCCAAAACAAACTCCAAAGACAGTAATAGAGCTCTTTCGTCTCTTTCCATCTGTCTTCGTCTTCAACGTTCTCAGATTTCCTTCATTTTATCTTCTAACACTTCTTATTTCTGCAGTCACACTTTACTTCCCAGAGTCTTGTGGCATGATGAATATTCATGCACATATGAATATTCATGGCATGGTCTCCATGAATATTCATGATCGTCTATTCAAGGATCTTAGGAGACCAGGGTCCATCCCCAACCCCGGCCTGCAGGGTGGTCGCCAGCCAAAGGTGGACAGGGGCAGAGATGTGATGGAGGTGACTTTGTGATTTTTCTCCTGTTTCTGGCCTGGCATGGGCCCCACTTCCAGGGACCCCATGAGGCTGGCACAGGCTGAGCCTGTCCAAGATGACTGACAAGGGCGTTTCTGTCTCCCGATTCCAGCTCTGAGCATGGCTTTGGTGCATTTCCAGCTCTGCTGTTGCTGCTGTCTCTTCTGTTCTTTGTCCTTGAGGATTTAAAGTCTTTTTTTTTTTTTTTAAATCTCACCCAATGGTTCATGCCTATAATCCCAGCTACTCAAGTTGCTGAGAGCTGAGAATTGTGATTTGAAGCCAGCCTAGGAAGAAACGTCCATGAGGTTTTATCTCCAATTAACCAGAAAAAAAAAAAGCTATGCATTGGTGGCTCATGCCTGTAATCCTAGCTACTCAGAAGGCTAAGATCTGAGGATCACGCTTTGAAGCCAGCCCAAGTAGGAAAGTCCAGGAGACTCTCATCTCCAATAAACTACGGAGAAAAAGCTGGAAGTAGTGCTGTAGCTCAAGTGGTAGAGCGCTAGCCTTGAGCACAGAGAGGCTAAGGGAGGCAAAGAGAACCCAGGCCCTGAGTTCAAGGACCAGCAAAATAAATAAATACATAAAAAAATTTAAACACCACGGTTCAAGTGATAGACATGTCTTGAGTGGAGAAGGTGAGGACTGTGTGGTGGTGGGACATGGCCAGGGTTTTAGGGCGTGTCTGTGTGATGGGTATGGTTCATATAGTAGGGGCGTGGCTCAAATGGCAGGTGTTATAGCTCAGAGGTAGGCCAGCCCAATACAAAAGCAGAAGACCCTACGTGAAGACTTATCTATTAGGAAGGAGAGGGAAGTGAAGCCCCTGGGCCCAGATGGGCCTTTCAAGGGATTTTAGCTAAAAGAGGGACAAAGAGCCAATAGCCTGAACTGAGATCATCCGACCTCCACCTTCTGTGTGGCTGGAATTACAGACGTGTACTCTCATGCTCAGCCTCTAGACATCTCACCACTGGCTTTATATAATCTTATAAAGTGTGAAGACCAGCCCCATTTCACGGGTGGGAAACAGAAGCTCTGCACTGTCTGAAGTCACACTCCTGAGGGCTGGGCACTCGCCCCCTGAGGTATCATCCCCACGGTGAACCTGCCTGGCACCTGGCACACAGCTCAGCCTCATGCTTGCAGACTACAGCAAAGGGAAATCTAGAGATGGCCAAAACCTTCCCCTCGCAGAGGCCGACTGTCGGCCACCCCCAGGACAGCAGTGAGGGACCTGGTGTGTAGACCTGCCTACTAGGGCAGGGAACCCAGGTCGGGCTGCTGGCCTCCAAGCTGTCTGAGGGGCTTTCGCTCCACCAATGGGTGCATCCTCTGCTGACAGATACTTTAGTCAGGAGGTGCGGCCTTGAGGTGATTGGATCATGGAGCTCTGACTGCACCAATGGGTTCATCCGCTGATGATGTCATAGCTGAGTGGGCTATCAGAGGTCTTGAGAAGTGATTGGACCATGGGAGCTGACTCCACCAATGGGCTCATCCATAGCTGAGTGGGCAGTCTGGAGGTGGGGCCTGATTGGAGGAAGCGGTGGAGGGGCGGAGCTTCGAGGCATTTCTCACCTCTCCTCCCAGGGGGGCCCTTTCCTCTCTGCTTCCTGGTCGCCAGGAGGAGAGCAGCTCATGGCGCTCAGGCTGGGAGCCGTGGAGGCAGAAGACCAAAGCCTGAAGCCATGAGCCAAATAAACCTGCCTTCCTCTATGCTGCTTCCCAGGGAGAAAAGACCGAACGCAGACGGGCAGATGGGGAAAAGGGAGGGCGGGCGGGCAGGCGGGAGGGTGAATGGGAGGAGGGGAGGGCGCTCACCAGCACGCGGTCCCCCAGCCGCAGGTCCTTGTCGCCCCGCTTCACCGAGCCGCTGTCGGACAGGTTGGAGCCGGACTCGTTGCCGGCCTTGCCGGAGCCCAGCACGGCGTCG